ATATGTCGTCGTGTCACAGTATACAAACAATAGAACACACTCACATGTCACATGCCTTGTGGTATATTATATAACATATAACATATCATGTATACATTCCATAGGAATGCTAACACAGGTATTCAGAGTTTGTGACGTGGGACAATATAGCACTGTGATGAACTTTGCGAGGCTATCCAGCAGTTGGCTCTGGATCGCACAAAGCAGCTCCTGGATTTCATCTCCGGTTTCCGGCAAAGCAAGACCTTTGAGGACTGGTTCGAGAATCACAAGGATAACGTGCAGCTGATGCAGTGGCTGGACGACGTGGCCAAGCTGCATACTTTGACTGTGAGTGTGCTTCAGAAGGAGGAAGAGGCACTCACCGGGGAGAAGTTGGAGGAGTTGAAGATTGCCCGGAGTCAGCTCCTGGCCAAGAAGAGTAGCTTTGTCGAGTCGATGACATTGTGGCCACTGGGCCAATTCATCCAACAGGCAGCGAACTCTCGGATGGAAATCTTCCTACGTGACCAGAGTTTGAAGGCAGAGCTGCAGCAGTGCCTTCAGCTCAGCAGTCAGTTGAAGACATTCACTTGCGACACCATGTTCAAGCCAGATTCCCTCGAGATTGCCGTGCCCGGGGTGAGCAAAGTCGTAGAGATGGTCTCGAAATTCAACATGGCGGAGCAGCTCGGTTCTAAGGCATTCTTGCAGGAGCATCAGGACCAGCTCAAGATCATCGGTGTCAAGATTACTGAGCTGCAGAATGCGATGCTCACTGCTTGTGTGCACAAGTTTCGCAAGAGTGTTGGCGAAGGACTCCGTCCCTTGCTAGACACCCTCTTGGGAGGTCAGATCGATGCCGACTCCACCGCTCGTCTGGTGGAGTCTGTGAACGAGGCAAAGAATTTCAATCCCGTGCAGACCAATGTGCTCAACAAGTGTTTGGGAACTTCGGCGGCCCCCATCCAGGATGCAGTGCAGGAGACACGTACATTTTGGACCCGTTTCTCGTCGGTCATTCCGGCTGTTGTGGGCCTGATGAATAAGGAGACTGTTAATTGTGTCGTGCAAAGGTTGCTTTCGTCAGATCTGCTTGCACTCATGGAGATTTACAACGATCCCTCCAAGACTGATCTCGTACAAAAGCTCTGTGTGGATTTGTGGCCTCAGATGTCCCAGATCGGCGACACTATGCGACGTAGTGCAATGCATCTGAGAAGCAGTTGGGCTGGCGGCTTCAGAAGTTCAGAATTCCATAGTGTTGCCTCGGAGTTTTTTGTTCGCTACTTTTCCGTAGAAGTTTTCAAGAGTTCAGAGTTCGATACTTTTCCGTAGGAGTTTGCAAGAAATCAGAGTTCGTTGTGTTTCCGTAGGAGGTAGTTGTGAGATAGTTTCCGTTCCGTGTAGTCATGATATAGCTAACTATCACTAATAAATTAATAACTAATAACTAACTATCTAATGGCTCCAATAACTCCAAAGTGGGGTTTTAAGTTATAAGTTGTAACCAAACTTGCCTGAGGATGTAGAGTTTTCTTGTTAACGGCTTGGACTTGTGGGGTCTTGTGCTCTGCGGTTTTGGTGTTATTCTGTTTATTCCCATATGGTCCATATGCATAGCTCCAGGACTTATACTGTACTGTGCCCGATGCACATGCATGTTTCGATGCACGGTGCCCGTTGATTATGGCGTTGGTAGTGGCCGGTATTGGCAGTTGGTAAGTTTGCATTCCAAATCATTTCGTGTTATATGGCATATATAATCTGCTTATGATTATCAACATATTATTGGCTTCAATGACGACAATAACATATTAGTTTGTAATTCTTCTGCTTACATTTATATCATATTGCCACGGGACTATTTTTATTGCAATTCTTAACGGATATATGATATAACTGATATGATATGATATAATTTAATGATATAATGATATAATGATAGGCAATGATAGGTATATGATATATGATATATTTCTTGATACTTCGGTATTGTGGAACTCTTTGACTCCTTGATACAGTGGCAAACACTTTCTTGTCTGAACAGATATTCCGCCCCTTTGCTAGAATATGTAGGCTTGGGTGACACACGAGGCATCTGTTGGCGAAAGAGTCTGCCAGCTTCTCACAGTTCACTGTGTTCATGGCCATGCCCGACAGTGCCGAGAAGGTGTTGGTGAAGGAGATCGTGGGCGAGTTCCAGGGCGACGAGGACAAGGTCACCCTAGATTATGCCGCCATGTATCAGCATTATGGCCGGCATCTTGCAAGTGATTACTTCCCCATCAAGTACCAGGTGGGTGCAGGCGATACTACAGATATCACTTGTGCATCCCTGTGTGCAGCAGGGTCTTGCCTTCCGGTTGCTAAGATGATCGTCCACATCGCGAGCTGGACGAAGGATCTTGGCGGCATGTCTCCCTCCCGGATTGTTCTCGGAGAATGCCCTTCATCCCCAGCCGACATCGCTAAGCTGTTCAATGGCAGTCGCATGCACTTGTTGTGTGAAAAGACGCACGAAGCCGGCAAGTTCATCCACACCTTGAAGGCTGCTTTTGAGGCCAGCGAGACGACAGGCCACGACGTGGCAAAGAGTTTCGTGAAGTCGTGTGCTGCTAAGGCACCCAAGTTGTTGGACAAGTTGGTTGACATGGTCAAGGAAGATGTCACATCGCTCATTGCAGACCTGATCTCCCTGCATTCCTCCGTGTCGGTCCGTGACCAGTTCAAGACGGCACTCGATAATGGTGCTTTGGATGCGAAGCTTGGCTTTGCCATGTGCAGCGATGAGTCTGTGCAGAAGATCTACCGATTCCTGAATTTCGGCCTCGAGGACTTCGTTGGCCTCAAGCAGGTCCTGATTGCTGTTTGCAGTGCGACGACAAATTTAGGAAGCACGGGCTCCTTCGACATGTCAGGCTTTGAAACCACGGCCGCGAATGCTAAGGGAGTAATTCAAAAGTTGTCAGAATTCAATCGGGCGCCTGAGTCCCAGGAAGAGGTGACTTTGCAGTCCATCTCCAGCATGGTGGCGAACGCAACCATGGTGCAAGCATGCACTCGGGATCTTCAGACGGGAGAAGCAAGAACATCTCTCGTCAACAAAGCTTTGTTGGGCATTAAGAAGCGCCAGTGGAAACTCCATCCGCTGCTCACTCAGCGATGTACAGAGGTGTTGAGTGGGAAGTCTGCAAGCAAGTCTGCAGGCAAGTAGGTGCTTGCATTCAGTCGGATGCTCTATATGAACCCCCAGCGATATCTGATGCTGTTGGCCGCCGGGTTGACTATATTATGATGGCATAAGTTGCATATGATTTCAGGTTTCCAATGCAGCAGTTCAGATGTCCCGAGCAAGATGCAATCGCACGGGTCGTTTGTGGAACTTGTTCGCCGGATGCATGAAACAGTCTTGTGATGCGACCAGGCCGGGTTTTCAAGGGGTTAGAGTTCGATGCTTTTCTGTAGGAATTTGACAGAGTTCGATACTAACCCGTAGGAGTTTCAGGAGTGCAGAGTTCGATACTTTCTCATAGGAGTTTTTAGGAATTCAGAGTTCAAAAAAATTCCTATGAAGTTGCACAAGTTCAAAAACATCCTATGAAGTTGCACAAGTTCTCGCTTCTTACAATTACCTACAGAATATCTATCCGCATGGCAGTGACATACTGCATCAGGCCTCGTTGTTATCGAGACTCCAGAAGTCACATCGGCTAGATGAGGTGCCTCTTGGGCTTTATCGGGATGTCCAAGTGGTTTTAATCCTGCAAATTATTGCTGGGTCGATGTTGTTAGACTTCTTTTCGTAGCCGGTGTCCGGGTGATGGGGCCGATTCACACATAATTGCTACATAATCGCATAAAGTATTGGTCGATATCCTTGCTTTGGGTTGTCTTGATTCTCGCCTCCTCTCCGCTCAGTAAGTGCTTATGCAGTTATGCACGAATATTGGTTGCCCGGAAGGTAATCAGGTTTCTTCCATTGGCTTCGGGAGATAACCGGTCAATAAATAATAATAATAATAATATGACTGAATAATACAACTTATAACTTATAATTGAATAGAACTTAATTTAACGTGCAACATTCTGTTCTCCAGGATAAGTTGTCGGCATTGTCTGCAGGATCGGTGGTGTTTTTGATTAAGATACGTGTCTATGTTATGGATGAGTATATGTCTTACTTGGTGGCGATATCAGCATTATCCCAAATAAGCTGAATTAACGGAGGGTTTGCACTAGTTATTCTTACACGGGATAGCTGGTTATTCTTACCGGGGATAGCTGGTTTTTCTTACCGAAATAACTGGTTATTCTACCCGGGTTAGCTGGTTATTCTTACCCGGGTTAGCTGGTTATTCTTACCGGGGATAGCTGGTTATTCTTACCCGGGATAGCTGGTTATTCTGCGGCTGCAAACCACATAAAGAGTTACTGTTAGAGACAGCCCCTAAGTTATAAGTACCCTAATTGGGGTTATAAGTATAATTACCTTATAACCCTGATTACTAAGTCCCATGATCCTCCAAGTACCCCAAATGCCGCAACTTCTCAGGCTTCGAAGTTGGCTGCCAGCCTGTGCCGGAGACCACTTCAGGCTACGAAGGCCTTGGGGTGCCAGAAAGACAACTAGAAGGCCTTCACGCACAGGCGGGTTTTACAGGTTTTTGTTAGGCCTTGTCACTTGGCTCCATAAAGGCTCTAAGATGTTATTCGAACTCCTAGAGCTTTATGGGAGGATTCATTGCTTTAAAGGTTTGCGGATTCGTCAGCTACAGATGTTGATGGTCCAGGGTGGATTTTTCGGAGGCGCAGTGTGGTCGGGCTTTTGGGCTGAAGGAAGCTGCAGCCTAAGCCCTAACTCCCTACACCCTTAGCCCCAAAACCTTTAAGCCTTTAAGGGCACCCGTCCTTAAGCCCGAATTCGGCCCAAACGAGTGCTTAATTGTTTCGGTTACATGTCAATGCGGTTGGGTAGGTCTCAAGCATCGGGAGGGTCTAAACGTGTTGGGGCCGGGGGCTCACTTCGGGGCTCCAGAGGTCTTGGCTGTTTGCGGAAGGTCAGAATTTAGTTCTTGCGTCATTCAGCCCAAATGCTAAACCCTAAAACCCTAAACCCTAAACATGCTACATCTTATAAGCCCTTGTAAGGCACTTTAAAGCACAGCATAGCCGTGATATGAAGCCAGTGAAGGAACTGCAAGCTGTCTCTGAAAGGAAGCCTTTATCAGATTAAACAAACCCTCAGAGGAACCCAGCGTAGCCCTCAACATAGGGGCCTAAATAGCTACCCATACTATTTTGTTTGTGAGGGGGGGGGGTCCTTAAATATACCCCAACACCCTACTCTAACTATTAAGGGCTAAACCCTAAGCCCTCATAGTAGCCCTTCCAGAACCTTTTTAAAGGAACCCCAAGGGCCCCAAGATGAAGGGAACCCGTAAAACCCTGGCTTTTTTCAGGTGGCTACTGGACCTCCTACCCAGGAACCTGCCCCTCCATGCCCTTCACCGAGACTTCGCAAGGGCTTAGGGTGTTCAGATTTGTTTTTCTGGTTTAGGGTTTCAACGTTCGGTTTAGGCTTTAGGGTTTAGGGTTTAAGGTTCGGTGTTTTAGTGTTAATGTATGTATTCAGGGGAATAGTGTTAAAGGTATGGGGTTTCGGATTTAAGGTTTCGATGTTCGGCAACACCATCCTGGTCGATTTGGCACGGTTTTGTATCGTGTTCTGCATTGGGTTTTGTTGGCAGCAAGTGGGATTGAGGGTTGAGAACGGTTTAGGTTTCCGATTTCCTGCCTTTGCGTTAGGTTTTGTTTAGAGCCCAGGCTTCCAATGTAGGCGGCCTGGAGTTGAGAACTGCTGGGTTTAGGGTTTAGGGGTTTAGGGTTTAGGAGTTTAGGCTTTAGGGGTTAGGGTTGGTGTTGGCTTGTGCTGTTCGGCTGCCTGGTTTCCCCGTCCCCCGTAAGACTTTAGTCATGTATCTTTGGCTTCTCCCGGTACTGGTGCAGACATTGATGAGGGCCCATAAAAGCTTCTAAACAAAACTATGGGAACCTACCACCTTGTAGCGATACTGCTTGCAAAAGTTTATTTTTTCGGGCTCCTAGTACAAGCCGGCTACAAGAGTCGCGCGTGTCAGCGGATTCATCACCATTGCAGCTAAGGACGATTCGCCCCAGGGTGGTGCAAAGAAGACTGCGGCATGCATCTCGGTGATGGCGCAGGGTTTGGGTTGAAGGTTTTACTGGTTCGAGGGTTTTTATATGCAGGATTTGTGGTTCAGGGCTTTTGGGCGATTGAGGGTTCATTGGTTTGCCGCAATTGGTATCGGGTTCCGGCTTACTCAAGTTGTTAGTCGTTCCTCAAATCCGAAAGAACTTTGAGAGAATGGCGCTGTTTCAAACTATGCTCCGTGCCCCCTTCCCATAGCCCTGTGCCCCCTACAACGGCAGGAAGGGCGAAACTGAAGAAGAGAGGCGTCTAGGTTTTAGTGTTCAGCATGCGGCTTGTCGCAATGAGTTGGCTTGTCGCCCCGATCCCTACAGCCAGCTAGAACATAATATAGGGGCCTCAACAATTACCATGCAATACTATTTTGAAGGGGTTCCTTAGTGTAACTATAGTATACTATACCCCCAAAACCCTATTCTAATTATTGAGGCCCTGTTGATCTGTTGGAAGGTCA